TAACCACAGATTCATTCCTGGAAATGTTTTTGTGTTAAGTTATTTTGTCCTCTATGACAAGACATGTAGCTCCTACAGAGAAGAACAATGGGATGTAATGTGAAGTTTAGAAGAACAAACCACAGATTCATTCCTGGAAATGTTTTTGTCCTCTATGACAAGACATCGGGTAGCGACAGAAAACACTCCAGTGACTCCAATTCTTATTTATTGAATATTATTGTTAAGGTTATCACATTAAAACATTGCACATAAATATATTGAGAACAAAGTTTATTTAATAGATATAAACTGATTATGACCAAGAATATTGTTATTAAAATATTTTGGAAGGACAGATTTTTAGGTGTCCAGTAAATCTTTGTCACCTTATGTGGTATTTTTTATGATTTATATCTAGAAGTGGTGACTACTGCAATTGGCAGAATTAAAGTTTTGTAAGAAATGTGTTCATGAAGATCAAGTTGAAATTGAGTAGATCTATAAAATAGTTCTTTCTTACGACTAAAGAAAGTACTTTATTGTTTTCCAAAATGTGTCTCGTAACAAAATTTTGGAAATTTCACAACATAAGAAATGATGGAAATACTAAATCAAATTATTTGAATTTTTCTAAAGCATAAACTAAATACTACTTAGTAAGTGTCAATTAAGTTTCTTGAAACTTGGTTAAGCAATCCTACTGTAAGACGAGCGACGATAGTGAAATGCTCACCCACTTAAACTTGTTTGTATCTGACCTTTTAACTTTGATATTTTCTATTGTTCAGAACAATTTGTACTCAAAGTGAAATATTAAATTTGTGCTTTAAAAGGTGGCTGAAAAGGTGTTATTTCACTGGCGGACATTCCCCATTGTTCTCCCACCACCATTAGCAGTGCTGACATCTGGTGGTGATTCTCTAACACGCAAGGTAACTTACATATGTTTAATACTTCGTTATTAGAATGTGTATGTGTCTGTATGTATGGAATTAGAAAAATGAAGATGTAAATAGTAGAAAGATATGTACGTATTACTTTCTATTCTACAGAATTAAAAACAAATTAACTGACCTCTATCTATTTATTTCTTATACAGCAATTTTTTTCAGTATTTCAGGAAATTGTAAAAATAAATTATTTATTTATTTAATATGAATATTTTTTATAGCTCAGTTGTAGTTAGTAGTTCTAGGCGGAATAACTTATAAGTTATATTAATGATCATATAAACTGTGTTATGTAGCCAGTCTTCCGCAACTAATTTACTAGTGGGTTTCAGTTTCTGATCCAAGTATAAAATATGTGAACCTCCAACATATATTAACTTGTACATTTATTTATGTCACCTACTTCTTGGAAACAAACACTAGACCAAGCTTTCTATGGGATAGCTATTGTAGTAATAACTTGGAAAATAATTTTACATGACATTATGAAATATTAGTTTTTTATCAGTTGACACTCGATGGCCCCGAGTTGTGTCTTTGATAAACCATTTCACTCTTGTTCTTGTAAAGTATGTGTAACTTGTTAATTTCTTGTTCATATATCCTACAAATCCTGACCAAAAACACAAGTAGCACTATTTCAAGATTACATGTAGTTAAAACCACCACCTTTGGTGTATAGAATGTTATCCTTACCGGGTGTTTTCAAACCTGTACATCACGGAGATGTTAAGTTTGGTGATTTATAATCATCTTTGATTCTACATATTCCATATCTAAGTATATACATTTTACAAAAGTATAATGGCTGGTATATATAATATTCCTTTAAACAGTAATACTGGTTCTTATATCATGGTTCTGTTTATAGTAAATTGTCTTTTTATGGTGTGACAAGAGTATTTTTTATCTGCTATTTTTGTCACCTCTTTTTTTTTTCTGAAATTTACTTTAACAATTTGATATATTAGAAAGCTACTAACATTTTCAAAACAAATCGAATAAAAAAAGCTGAACTTAATGGAAGGTGGAAGACATTGTCCTGTTACATCATAACAACCTTATGTTAAAACTCTGAACTCACTCAAAGGAAGGTAGAGGACATTGTCCTGCCATTTCTTAACGTTATATGTTAAAACTCTGAACTCACTCAGCGGAAGGTGGAAGACATTGTCCTGCTATTTCATAGCAACTTTATAAGTTAAAACTCTGAACTCACTCAGCAGAAGGTGGAAGACATTGTCCTGCTATTTCATAGCAACTTTATAAGTTAAAACTCTGAACTCACTCAGCGGAAGGTGGAAGACATTGTCCTGCTATTTCATAGCAACTTTATATGTTAAAACTTTGAACTCCTTCAGTGGAAAGTGGAAGACATTGTCCTGTTATATATTAAGAAAATAGATAACTTGTTCATAAGTTTTGAAATTCAGTTGATTTTGTAATTTTCTGTTAAATTAGCAAGTTTTTCCATTTTGTAACAAACCCAAATTAATGCCCAATTGTAGTTCAAACCCTAGTGAAGTTTGAGAAGCCATGCTTGTACAGATTTTCTTAGTAACTGTCTTATGTGAATTGCACATTTGTTAAGGCTACTTGATGAATCGTTGTTTTTTAATTCAGCTCTTGTTTGTATCAGTAAAATATTTTTCTTTTTTCAGTAGGTTATATTTTAACTTTTATTTCAACTTCCACAAAAGTAACTCGTATTGTGGTCTTCTCATTTTTGCTAAATACAATTAAAACCTTATTCCTGTTCCTTTGTACTTGTGAATGTAAAGCCAAAGCCATTGAATCTTCGAGATTTGTTTATAACGCCATCATTTGATGAGATTGAAGCCGTGGCAGTTGACATTAAGGGTGAACCTCGTAGGTTAAATGAGAAGCAGCTTCGTAACATTCGTACAGAAGGGTAAGTATGTTATCTTCACAAATATCTTAGTTATTTTAACTCTCTCAACACGGGCTCGGTCAATTTGACCGACCACATGATCTCTTTGTACTCGTTCAAAGTCTTTATAGATTTGATACTACTAACTTTTATTATAGTGTATATCTTCAAAAAATTTGGCAGTCTTTCAGTTAATATTAGAAGTCTTTCACATATAAAAAATCATTTTTAGTGAAGTATTCTTAATAAACTAAAACAAAGATTTGTCCATGAATATATTGAGTATTTGTTTTGAACAGTCCACGTGCAAAGTAATTTTCATGTTATTAAAAATATTTTTCTTCATTTCAAAAATCTTAAATTTCCTTTGTGTAATCTCTAAAACCTCCTAAATACTTTTCAAACGTTTTTTTCTTTTATTTGAGTAAAACTTTATTTTATCTATTATTTTCTCTACTATATCTCTATATGGGATCAGTCAATTTGACCGACCCCGTAACCAACCAAAAAAAAAAAAAAAATTAAAATAAATCTAAATTACCCTTTTTTTCTTTCTAGAATGACTTCAAATTGTAACATGAAACTATTTTCATTTATCCTAAGTAGCTTTAAGCTCGTAACAATTTACATCTATTTATAATTAAATTTTATTGTTTTATTGCTCTTTGAACCGTGTCTAACTACTATTCGCAGCATTATAAGTTACACTATCAAATTACATTATCCTCAAGCTAGTAGGAGCTGCTCATGTGTGTGCGTCATGAAACGGTTTTATTATATTATTATTATTTATTGTTACCTAATCTAATCTTAACTAACCTAAAGAGACCCCTATTTTTACATTTTAGTTACTTTTATAATATTAAATAAAGAATATACATGAAAAACAAGAAATTTAATTTTGTAGTTTCTGGAGGGGTGGTGGATAAAATAGAGGAGAAAAGATACCTAGAGAAAATATGTCGTGTGTCACGCTAGGGGAAATTCAAGATTTTTTTTAATATTGCCTTCTATACTATTAAAATATGGATTATTAGCTATAATTGTATGCTATACTAATTGGTATAACAAACAAAAAGTAGTTTAATATTTTGAATGTAAGACACTAAAACTTTGTGTCTTGCACAGTAAAGGATACCTGTGGTGAAAGTGTTCACTAGTAAAGCTGTTAATATAGTTTAAAAGGTGTTTTATTTTTTACTGAAAGTCAAAACTTTCTTGCTTTTAAGAAGTTCTTGTATTTGAGCAAAAGTTATTTAAAGGAATACTTTATACACAACACAACCATACAAATGCTACTCTGTTTCAAAAGATAAGTTTTATTGTTGAAAATGATATTCAGTTATAGATAAACAACTAAATTAGCATTTTAACTTTTTACTTGTAGGAGAATCAGATTGTTTAGAAATAAAAAGTAAAATAACACTTGCACGGCCATCCTGAAAGTTTCGGGAAAGGAAATTAAAATATGAAATTTCATGCTGAAGTGTTACTTTGCTTTTAGAGACTGTCTGAATTTGTTCATTGTGTTTTATTTAGTATTATCAAATTGAGTGAAACAGGTGATTCATGGTGTGTTTGTTACTTTTGTTTTCCATTGTAGAGAATTTGAAGTGGAAAGTTTGAACTTTCCTGGCCAAGTTCACAGATGGCAACTTAGTCAAATTTTACAGAAAGGGACATGCAAAGTACATCACACATTGCTAAGGGTTTGTATTAACATATAAAGTTAAAATGTTTTTCATGTCTTTGTAGCTCTAAACTAGATGTAAGTTTTTCTTTAAAATGATGACTTGTATGATATATATCAGTATACATGTTGTATATATCTGTGTCTGTAAAGCAGATCTAAGCTTAACTGTCTTGCCACGGGGTCAACTGAATTGATTGACTTCATAACCATTTTGTACTCATTATAGTTTACATACTATAGCTTTTAATACAGTATGTGTATCTTCACAGAATTTGACATTCTTTCAGTAAGCATTAAAAGTCTTGCACACTAAAAATCAGATTTTTTAATGAAGCATTTTTACTAAAGATTTGTCTATGAATGTATCTAAGTTTTTTTTTTTTACTAATCCGAGTGTAAAGTGATTTTCATGTTACAATTAAAAATTCTTTTCTTCTTCAGTTGCGTAATCTCTAAAACCTCCTAAATATATTTAAAACTTTTTTTTCAGTAAAATATCTATTATTTTCTGTACCCTAACTATTTAAGGCTCTAAATTACCCTATTTTTCTTTCTAGAATGTCTTCAAATTGTAACATGAAACGACATTCGTTTATCCTAAGTATATTTAAACTCGTAACAGTATACATCTATTTATACTTAACTTTTATTGAACCTTATCTAACTAATATTCTTGCCATATAAGTTGTAAATGGTGAATGTGTAACTCAAGTTGCGATGTTGAATTACATACTACTTGGGAGCTGTTGCAAGCAAAAGTCATGAAAAAAATTCTTTATTTTCCATTATCTAAGCTAAAAAGTTTAATTTTTACGTTTTAGTTACTTTTATAATAATATATATATAGAATACACAAAAAAAATAATAAGGTACTTACCTGAATCTTATTTTTATGCCTTCGACTGTTGATGACACTTAACCCTACTTTTTTATACTAATGGTACTACTTCACTAAATAGTTTTTTATTTAATTAAATAATGTATCAAAGAACACAAAATAAATGCATGCAAAAAGCAGACAATGTTTGATAACTATCACAATTTTTCACAGAGTTTATAATTACTTGTTAATGTTGTACTGCTAATTTTATAATTACTTCAGCTCCAAACCATATAATAAATGTTTTCACTGATTCAAAGTGCAATTTTATTACTCTGGGGAATTCTTGTTGTAAATGCTGTAGGATACATAAACTGATAAATTCCACATCATGTAAACAGTCTAATGACACAAGCAGTGATTTGTTACTTTATTTTCAGAAGATTTCTACTTCAGTCGTTGACAGTAAAATAAATACAGAAAATAAATGTGAAATGTTTATTAGTTCAAACTCTCAAGTGAAGTACTTTGAAACTTTGTGACCAATAATAAAGAAAAAAAGGGCACAGCTGCTCATTTTGTTTCTGATTTTACAACTTTTCAATATATTTTGATCGTTTGTCTGCTAACTGTAGAATCAAATATATTGTTAGGGGTAGAGATAAAATATAAAGTTTTACTGAAAAAAGTTTTATATTTGTTTGGGAGGTTACACAAATGAAATGTGAGATTTTTGAGACAAAGAAAAGTATTTTTAATCTTAATTTAAAATTAACTTTGAACTTGGACTAGTCAAAAAAAAGATTTGATGTATACATGAACAACTCTTTAGTAAAAATACTTTATAAAAAAACTTTTTGTGTGTGTACAAACAACATGTAATGTTTATGAAAAGTCTGCCAAATTTTTTGATGATACACGTACTATATTAAAAATTATAGTATGGAAACTATAATGAGTATAAAGTGGATACGAGGTCGGTCAAATATATTGACCAGGTCTTGAGAGAGGTAATGTTGGCCTGAGTTATTTTGTGACTGGGTAACATTTGTTAATGTGTATTATAGTTATCTTCTGTAAATCGATTGACCCTGTGTTGAGAGAGGTAATGTTGGCTTGAATTATTTTGTGACTGGGTAACATTTGTTAATGTGTTTTATAGTTATCTTCTGTAAATCGATTGACCCTGTGTTGAGAGAGGTAATGTTGGTCAGAGTTATTTTGTGACTGGGTAACATTAGCTAATGTGTTTTATAGTTATCTTCTGTAAATCGATTGATCCTGTGTTGAGAGAGGTAATGTTGGTCAGAGTTATTTTGTGACAGGGTAACATTTGTTAATGTGTTTTATAGTTATCTTCTGTAAATCGATTGACCCTGTTTTGAGAGAGGTAATGTTGGTCAGAGTTATTTTGTGACTGGGTAACATTAGCTAATGTGTTTTATAGTTATCATCTGTAAATCGATTGATCATGTGTTGAGAGAGGTAATGTTGGTCAGAGTTGTTTTGTGACTGGGTAACATTTGTTAATGTGTTTTATAGTTATCTTCTGTAAATCGATTGACCCTGTCTTGAGAGAGGTAATGTTGGCATGAGTTATTTTGTGACTGGGTAACATTTGTTAATGTGTTTTATAGTTATCTTCTGTAAATCGATTGACCCTGTTTTGAGAGAGGTAATGTTGGTCAGAGTTATTTTGTGACTGGGTAACATTTGTTAATGTGTATTATAGTTATATTCTGTAAATTTGCACCATATACCATTTATTTTTGATAAGGCAATTTTATGGTTAATGTACATTATTAATTTCGTTATTGAAAGCTTACTGCTTATACTCTCAGCCACTGCTCAGTAGTGTGATGTTAATAAGGTATGATGAAATATTTCTACTCAACTCTGAGGGTAAAATGTTTCTTGTCCTAACAGGACATCGCTCTAGCTCTCCGACTTTTGTTTGTTACTGCCCAAAACAGGCTTCATTCAGACTTTTTCAGTGTATCGGGATCTGCCCATTCCTTGCTGCAGGGATTGTTGCTCCTGTTAGGTGAGTGAACTTTAAACACTTTGAAAGCTCTATTGGAGCAAGTTAGTCATCATTGTTGATTCATTGTATTGATTGGTGATAAACAAAAATATTAAGTTTTCTTTTATTTTTATATCTATTTAGAATGTTTTTGGCACATTTTATTGTTTATTGACCAAATTAACATTGATATAAAGCCTACAAATTGTAATCACTACACAATGATTAGTACAATTGAATAGTTTTTAGACCCTAAGAACGAGTGTTTAAACTTTTACTAAATTTTACATATTAGTTTTGATATACATTGTAGCAAATACTGAGTTTTTCTAGTTTTCACAAGTTCTGTGGTTGATTGTTTTCTTTAGGCATTATTTTGATGTGTTATTAAAATTGTTTATTTTTTCTCATGCTCGTATCTTCCTCAACCATTAAACTTGTGATGTCTGTGAAATCTTCACATTACTACATCATCGCTTTGAAAAACTACAGTGATGTATTAAGATGTTATACGATACAGAATTAATGTTTCTTAAACAGTTTATAGTAGTAGTAAGCTTTTCTAAGTGTTATTGTAACTTTTTTTTAACCTGAAGCTAAGTAAACATTTTGATGGCAAGTTACATGTCTTGTGGAGGTGTGAAAGCTAAAGTAAAATATTAAATAATGCCAAAATCAAAAAGGGTTCCTAGCAAACTCACAATTTCAGTCATACTAGAGTTATACAAGTGAGTGTTCTTAAAACAGAATGGAATTTATAGCTCACAGTTTACTAGCATTGAAGTTTCCCAATAGAGATTTCTTGGTTTTGAAAGTTTTTACAATATAAGGGATGAAGTTTACAATGTACCTTGTATTGGTCACTTTGTGGGGCAGTATTGTTTAATAATTGGACATACGTAATGTGCCAACAAACAGTTTTGTCTTTGTACATTTCACAAGTGCTAATTCTTATTTGTTTGTGTAGTATTATGTTTTAAACGATTTCATCTTTTATTAACTTGGATGAAATATAAACTTGAATTCATTGTTATGGATGGTCTTGAAATGTGTAAGTTGTTGTTGGAATGCGACATTATTTTATACCTCAGATTTTTGTCATTATTTTTTAAAACTGCTATTTAATTCATTGCTTCTTCCAAAATTAACAATATCACTGTTTTTTTTATCCATAATCCGTATTGATTTAAGAATACTTTTTATGAGGGAACTCAATCTCTAAGACCATAAATATTAAACGGTACTGCACTATATTATGTCCAATTTCAAGTTATTTTGAAATCCTATCTGTATATTCAAAATTAAATGTGATGTGTGAAGATCACATGCAAGTTTTTGTCATACAGATGTATTCTACTTAAATGTTAACGTGCATGATAAATTTATTTTTAATTGATAAGTGATCTGTATATTCTTATTTTTTGCAGATGCTTTTTTTGGGGTACCGTCTCTCTCCGCTAAAAACTTGGAAATGAGAATCCAAGAAGAGAGAATTAAGTACTTAGTAGCAGAACTAACTGTTAGAGTACGTAAATACATCTTTTACCTTAAAGAGAGAATTAAGTACTTAGTAGCAGAACTAACTGTTAGAGTACGTAAATACATCTTTTACCTTAAAGAGAGAATTAAGTACTTAGTAGCAGAACTAACTGTTAGAGTACGTAAATACATCTTTTACCTTAAAGAGAGAATTAAGTACTTAGTAGCAGAACTAACTGTTAGAGTACGTAAATACATCTTTTACCTTAAAGAGAGAATTAAGTACTTAGTAGCAGAACTAACTGTTAGAGTACGTAAATACATCTTTTACCTTAAAGAGAGAATTAAGTACTTAGTAGCAGAACTAACTGTTAGAGTACGTAAATACATCTTTTACCTTTGTTGATGTTGTTACGGGTCATTATTGAAATGAAACAGTTAAAATTAATCCTCTAAATTTCAACAATAATTTCTCACTGACCTACTTATAAGAAGACTCTAATATTTTTAGAACAGATAAGATTAGTCACTCGGTATTAAGGTATATATCTCTTTGAAAGGTTTGATAAATGTTCTATTGATGTAGATTGTGTGATTTGGAATATAGTAACATGTTAAACAGAAACAGTGTGATTTAGAATACAGGAACGTGTTAAAAAGAAACAGTGTGATTCAAAATATAGTAATGTGTTAAAAAGAAACTGTGTGATTCAAAATATAGTAACGTGTTAAAAAGAAAGTGTGATTCAAAATACAGTAACGTGTTAAAAAGAAACTGTGTGATTCAAAATATAATAACGTGTTAAAAAGAAACTGTTTCTGAAAAATATTTATATGTATAGTCGAGCAATATTTCAGGTAAGTATGCCAAGAGAAATGTACAGAGCTAAATTCTGATTACATAATAAGTATTTTATGACTGTGTCGACGTGGAGCTTGAAGTAGCCCTGAGTGAGCTTGTCAAAAAAAACTAAATTACTAATCTTTGATAGGTCGTTTAGGCAGAGTATTCA